AGTCAGTCGTCCTCTGAGAGGTCAGTCAGTCATCCTCTGAGTGGTCATAGTCAGTCGTCCTCTGAGAGGTCATAGTCAGTCATCCTCTGAGAGGTCATAGTCAGTCATCCTCTGAGAGTCAGCTTCTGAGAGGTCATAGTTTTGAAAACTCTGTGGCGGAGTTCTACTCAACAGCAACTGGCTCAATTCAGGAGTTAGAATTTGATTACCTCTTAAGTTCTATGCTTAAGTTAGCTTTAAAATTATATGATTTTGAGATATGTATGGATACCCAGCTTCCACATTTCTGCTGGAATCAAAGTGAGAAGTTAGCTTAATTCTTTCCTTCATGACCTCTCTTCTTAAGTGACTGAGACCTTCCGCTGTCCTGCGTTCCTGCTGAGTCAGGCCCTACAGATGTGATTATTTTTTAATATTTCATTATAAGCACATTTTTGTCACAATATGTCAGTCCTCATTAATTATGATATATTTTGAATGCCAATTAAGATGTGACATCGATTTAACAGGGCAGTTTAGTTATTCAATTTAATGGGATTTTGTTTTTAGCATAAAACTGTAAGGTTTCTAAATTTAAGGACCTTTGCTCTGCAAATATTACAGATTAACAATCTGGGTTTCCTGTCTTAAAAAAAAAAAAGATAGACTAAGTAGAAAACTGGAGCCCTGGTGGCATAGTGGTTATGAATTGAGCTGTGATCCACAAGGTCAGCAGTTCAAAACCACTAGCCGTTCGAAGGCAGAAAGGGCTCTGTACTCCCTTAAGGAGTTACAGCCTCTTTAACCCACTGGGACAGTTCTACTCTGTCCTAGAGAGTCACTATGAGTCGGCTTTCACTTGATAGCCGTGAGATTTGAGTGAAGTAGAAGAAACATCTCTCAAGAGAGAAAATGGAAAACTGGCAGCTACTAGCCTCCTAAAAGGGATGGCTTAAAGGATATTTAACTAGGACACGTTTGGAAATAAGCACAGGAAAACATAAGATTAATAAGAGAATGATTTTTATAAGCAGGACTAGCATATAATCCCTACAGGAAAGTACCGCATCAATCATTAGCATTCCAATGGGGAAAATACTTCAGAAACTAAAAAGAATGTTCTTTCCTTTGTTCCAAGCTGCACCATAAAAAGGTTTCTATATATGAGATCTTTTTGTTTTAAATCATTTTATTGGGGGCCTGTACAATTCTTATCACAATCCATACATCCATCCATTGTGTCAAGCACATATGTACATTTGTTGCCCTCATCATTCTCAAAACATTTGCCTTCTACTTGAGCCCTGAGATCTTTATGGCAATGTGATTACCAATATGATGTCCACACAAGAACTTAGGGCACCTTAGGTTTGAAACCTAAACGGCAGCCATGACTTTCTCTTAAGGAGAACTAGTACTCGCTATCTGAGATGTACTCTGCCTAGTGTTCATCTGGTACTAGAGCCATAGCTCTACTCAGCTAATGGCTGAGAAAGAGTCTATAGTAGGACTTTCACAATGTAGAAGCAGAAGGGATGGGCTACTAACCACAAAGTTACCAGTTCAAAACCACCAACCATTCTTCAGGAGAAATGTGAGGCTCTTTACTCCCCTAAAGTACAGTCACCGAAACCCAAGGGGGGTAGTTCTACACGATCGTATTGGATTGCTATAAGTTGGAATCAACTTGGTGACAGTGAGTTTAGCGCTTTGTTTAAGAAATCACATAAATCTGAGCACACCATAGCAAACTCTAAGTATATATATATGCATCTGGATTCTAATTTTGTTCAGGAGTCCCTGGTCAGGGTATAAAGTTAAAGTACTCAGTGGCTATCCCAAAAGTGGGAGGTTTGAGTCCATCAGAAGAACCCAGGAAAAAAGACCTGAAGATCTCAGGTAGCCATTGGAATCCACATCAAGTACAGTTCTGGTAATGCAGCGGATTTTTTAACATGGCTCTTGGACATTGTCCTTGTTACTGGAGCCATGCAACTTTCGTTTTCCTAATAAGCCTGGGTAAGGAAGTAGTGGGAAATACTGATTGGATTATATGCTTTATCTGAATGTTAATGGGGTTCATTATGATTGCCATCTTACAAGCAGGGACGGGGGATTTCCCCACCAGCAAGGGAGAAAAGCCAGGTGTAGAATAGCGGCATGCCCCTTAGGCATTTAGTGGTAGCCCTTAAAAAGTTTTATAACATTGCTCTAGGAGAGCAGAAGCCATGCCAGGAGGTTGAACACCAGGGAGAAACGTACCTGCAGGTACACCAGAAAAGAAACAGTCTGACTGAGCAACTGTGTCCTGGCATTTCCCACCTGAATTGTACATCTGAACTGTACAATTAGCAAAATCCATAATAGTGAGCATTGTCTCTGTGGCCATGCCCATGAAGTATCACACCCAGCCACAGAAGTAGAGTGCTTTGAGAGGAATAGTTGGTGTCAAAATAAGGGAAAAGGAATGGGGAGTAGCTGGCAGCATGTCTGACCTTGTGACACTCTGCCTTAGGTGCCAAGAGAGGTCAGAGGAGGCCCCCACCCCATTTTCACAATTCTATTCTGACACATGGGGTTGACTCAACAGTAATGGGGGCTGGTACCTTTCTCTTGGAGGGTATCCTAAGTGGAGTAAGTTCTCCATAAACAAAAGTTTGATACAGAGAAGTGATATGGAATCATGTTCCTCTATACTAATCTGGTGAGGGTAGAGAAAAATGACCTAAATAATTAGATTTATTACATCATTTGCACAAATATTTTAAAACTCTATGTAAATAACTTGGAAAACAAGTTAGGCCTTTTATGACTTATGCGAACCTATGTCATTAATACCATGTGCATATTTGAAAGATCAATATTACCCCTGCTACAAGTGAAAACTCCTCTAACTTTTACCAGTTAAATATGAGAGTTGCTAAAGAATGCTATTAAATTGCATATCCTGATCCACCAGGGAGGCCAACACATGATTCTGTTTTATTGAACAACTTAAAACCACCACACTAATGCACTTACCTTGTGGGCAAAACGACCAAGGAATAAGCTGTCAGTAACTGAAGTGTTTGCATCGCTTTCCAAGATGTCAATTCCAAAATCTCTGCATGCATAGACTTGGAAGTTGTTTAAGTGAAGATTTCTACTTCTAAAAATCTATAAAATAACAGCATATGTTATGGCTAAGGTCTTTGGCTGAGTATTTCTTTCAGGATTCTTGTAGCTTCTTGAATTATTGATCATGTACAAATAAGCATACGATACCATATTTATTCATTTTTTTAATCATTTTATTAGGGGCTCATACAACTCTTATCACAATCCATACACACATCAATTGTGTCAAGCGCATTTGTACATTCATTGCCCTCATCATTCTCAAAACATTTCCTCTCCACTTAAACCCCCCGCATTAGGTCCTCATTTTTCCCCTCCCTCCCCGCTCCCCCTTCCCTCATGAGCCGCTATCAAAAAGTATAAGACTCTCTGGGGTCTTAAGGGCTTGAAGGTAATCAAGCGGCCATCAAGCTCAGAAGCAACAAAGCCCACATGGAAGAAGCACACCAGCCTATGCAATCACGAGGTGTCGAAGGGATCAGGTATAAGGTATCATTAGAACAAAAAATCTTACCATAGTGAATGATGGGGGGAGTGCAGAGTGGAGACCCAAAGCCCATTAGTGGGCCACTGGAGATCCCCTTGCAGAGGGGTCTTGGGGAGGAGACGATACCATATTTAAACAGCTTTTGCCCATCAATATCTTTACAGCCATTCCAATTCTGCTACGAGGTCACTACTAACTGGTCCCCTTTGGTATCACCTCTCCACACTTTTCATTTCTCCTCATGATACTGATTATGAAGGTCAATATGACGCCCCTACGTATCTAAAATAAAGCTGTAGTAGCCACATCACAATTAATGAAGAAAAGCAGAACACCCAAGAATTTTAACATTTCCCTCAGTTTAATGTTTATTAATATTGTCAGAATCTTGCAAATATGAGATAAGTAATGCAGCATGAGGACAGAGGCACTGTTGCCTAAACAGGGATGGAATATTAACAAGATGTTGTCAGCCTGGTAGGCAGAAACCTGGATTTTCAGTTAGTTCTTGCAATAGGTAATTATGTGATTTGAGGCAAGACATTGAACTTCATTTAGGCTCCTGTTTAAACAGCTTTAAGATCTGGGTGAAGATTCAGAGTAGCATATAATCTCACATAGTCACTCAGTGTTCATTAAATTAATGATTACATTCATGTCTTTCACTGGAAATGTTATATTAAGACCAAATTATCTTTGATTTAACATGGTATGGTTCTTCTAGTTGTCAACTAGTCTGGCTTGAATTTTCAGGTATTGAATAGCTCCTATTCTCTATTATACATATATTCATCTAAAGTATTTTTCTTTCTGGTTAAATAAAAAGATAGCTCACTGAGGGGCACAGGATTATTTAAGCAATCCAGATGTTGTCTAAATGGATGACTTGACCATTGTTATAACTTAATTATAGGCATCAGTCCAAGAACTATAAAATATTCTTACATTCAATAATATTTTTCTACAATTACCTGGAGAAACTGCTGATTTACCAGGAAATCAAAAGACAAAAGCAAAATGCACCAATCTGTGGTGTGATTATGAGCTTTCACAATGCAGTTGCATCTCTCTCTTCCTTTTCTGAATTATCACTCTGAGTTTCTGAGACATGGTGAAAATGGAATATTTTTCTCAATTCCGGTTAACATACATATCAAAGGATTAAATCGCCAGAGTTGGCATCCAGCAACTTAACTGTATAATCTTAACCAAGCAAGCATCTCTTTCGAGTGTTTTCAATAAAAGGAAGGAGACCATAGTCCAGCGCTTCCATAGAGTTGTTACGGTGGTTAAATGAAAAAACACATAAGCATTAGTATTATCAAAGAGATATAGATGTATGTGTAGAAAACTGGAAATTTTATCTAACTGAATATTCAGTTCAAGAATCTAAATACCTGACCTTTAATGTCTAAATGATAATGGTACAATTAGATTTATCTAAGATTAAAAGTTGATGAAATGCAAAAACAATATGCCTTTTAAAAACCTTTTGTTGTGATTTGGATGCAGTTTTGTAAAGCAGACCAGTTCTCCATTCAACAATCTGTACACATTTTGTTTCGTGTCATTGATTGCAGTCTCTGCAATGTAACATCACTCATCCCACTTCCTCCCTATGCTGCCCACTTCCATTTCTCCTTTTTCCTACCTTTTCTGCTTTCTGGTCCTTGGTCAAATGCTGCCATTGTGATCTCAAATAATTGTTCTAAGGAGTGCATAATCTCCCTAGTGTTACTGTCTACCTTGTAGACCTTTCTACACAATGTACTTTTTGATGATCGAAAAGTCACTGTGCAGAGACATCATTGTCAACACTTAGACATATCAGCACTTAATTTTGTTGATTAACAATGATAACAGTAACAGCTAATTGTACCAAGAATTCATAAAGATCTAGTTCTATTGACAGAGTCTGACAAGGTCTGAATTGCTTCTTGACACAAGAGGAAATTCAACAAATACTTCTTGCTTGTATGAACATAGTGCTTAAGGAAACAATATGCTTTATAAAATTAAATGAGACTAGAATAGAAATATACTGGGATTTTTCCATTTTTTAACCCTATGATTTTTTTTGTGTTTTCTCTTGGTGAACATATGAAATAAATATCTGACTTCCTTATTGTGCTTTAATTTTATATTTTTATTCTAGTTCTCCAATTCCCTATAAACAGTTCCTCCCTTTTGTATCTGTGGCGTTAGATTCCTAAGAAGCAGAGAACAAGTATATGTACTCTAATTATTTAATTCTTTTTTTTAAGTATCATTTAGAGCCTATTACTATCTACATTTTACAAATGAGATAAGAAAATTTAGGAGATTTCTATCGGGTCATGAAAAAGGTAACTGGGAACAGCTGGGTGTTTATAATGACTATGCACTTAGGAAGGAACCTTAGTGGAGCAATGGGTCACCGAAAGATCAGCAGTTGAAACCCACTAGTCACTCTGCTAGAGAAAGAGGAGGTTGGCTGCTTTTGTAAAGTTTTGGAAGATTGGGAGCAGTTCTCCTGTGCCCTACAGCGTCCCTATGAGTTGGAATCAATTGGCCGGCAGTGGGTTTGGTTTAGGAACATACCTAGGAAACTGGGGTTAGTACTCAGCTACTAATTAAAGTTAGCACTTCAAGCCCACCCAATAGCTGGATGAGCAAAAGACATACAGATGTGCTTTGTAAAGATTGGAGGCAAGAAAACTCTATGGGGCAGTTCTACTGTGTCGCATGGAGTCACTAAGTGTTGGAATTGACTCAACATCACCCAACGATGGCAACTATCATGTGAATTAATTTCCCTATTGCTTCTCTAAAAGTGAAATCCTAAAAGTGTTCTCATTATGCAAGCTTTTTGATTGAATATATTTAGAACCAACCAACCAAACAAAAAAAATATTTATAACCGGCTGCCATCCTGTTGATGTTGATTCATAGCAACCCTGTAGGACAGGGTAGAACTGCCCCTGTGCGTTTCAGATACTGTAACTCTTTATGGGAGTAGAAAGTCCCGTCTTCCTCCTAGGAGGAGGTGGTGGATTCAAACTGCTGACTTCTCATCAGCAGCCAAGCATGTAACCACTATTAGAGTTTAATTGGTAAGACTCTCTTTATTCCATTCACAAGGTTAGGATTTCTGATACAGGACTTGAGATATTGCTACAATTAATACCTTCTAATATTTAGTTGCATTGAGTCTACTTCTTGTAGATCAAGGCTATTCAAGAATAGGAACACAATGGCTACTAAAGAGTCTGGTCCCTTACAGGGCATGAATTACTTCCGGATATAAGAGGGAATGCAACAATTACTTTTCGCCCCTATAAACATAGTGCTTAAAGAAGCAATGGGTTAAATAAAATTAAGTTAGAATAGAATACTACTATAATGAGAATTTTTCTTTTTATTTACTTGAATGATAGATGTTTTTGCTTTTCTCTTGGTGAATATATGAAGTACATGATTGACTTCCGTATTGTGACTTGATTTTCTATTTTTATTCTGTTTCACAAATTCCCTGTGTATACAGTTCCTTGTTTTCATAGCTTTAGCTCTAGATTCCTAATAGCAAAGACAAGTATATGTAGTTTTCTCTGTATATCAGTGATCCTGGACAGCATCTACCTGTTTCAGTTAACAATGAATATTATTAGGAAATGATTACAACAATAAAAATGAGAAACCATAAACTCAAATCATTTATAAAAGTAAGAATGGCTCTTTGAGTTTGAATTTTTGAGCCAGTGAAAAAGAGCAGCATTTTTCCTTAAGCCCAGAGTATGTGTTCTTCAGACTATTAAGGTATGCCATGCACTTTTTCAAGTCCAGAACCTACATCTGCTCATTAATTGTGTGACTGGAAAAGTCCCTTTCCTTTCTTAATTTATTATGTCTAAACAGGATGAAGGAGGCGGAATGGATAAAATTGGCATCCCTCTCCTGGTTGCAAAAATGCTATGATTCTATTTTTCTCTACTAGAGTTGCAGAAGTCACTACAGAGGAAATCAACTAATCCTGGATTAAAAACTCACTGCCAGCCAGTCTCTGCCAACTCATCACGACTGTATAGGACACAGTAGAAATGTCCCATGAGTTTAACAAACTGTAACCGTTTACAGGACTAGGAAGCCCCTCTCTTTCCTAAGGAGCAGCTGGTGGTTTTGAACTGGTGAGCTTTCAGATTACAGCCCAACACATACTCACTATGCCACTAGTGCTCTGATTATGAATTGGTTCATTCAGCAACTATCCCACACATATTTACGATGCTTTTGGCTCTCTAAAATTATGATGATGTTCAATAATCCCCTTTGCAACAAATCACTTCCCTTTAAATAGATATGCGCAGTAAATCACTGGGAGAAAATAAACAAAGGTTTTAGTACTAACAACTAAGGAAACGTTTACCTGGGCACCACCTGCGCTTTCCCAAACTGTCAAGTTTTGAAATAAGGTGAGTCCAGTGTCATTTTCCCAGGGAGGCTGAAATTCAGGGTATACAAAGAGACCATACCTAAAAAGCAAAAGAAAGAATGAAATCTAGTTAATACCGCGGCTTCCTCTTCTGCTCATTGGAAAATAAAAAAGCAAAGAGAAGGAATGCGGAGAGTGGAGATAAGATCAGTGACTCCTTTGCACATGCCTCAACCCAACCACTAATTTACCCTCTATGACCTGCCCCTGAATTACAATAGAATGTAGATGGCCGTGAACCCCTATCAGTCAGCCAAGCCCTTTCTAGGTTGAACTCCTTCCTTTCTAGGAGAGTGGACACCTCTGCCTAGCACTTTAAGACATGAACTTCTCTACCTTCTCTCTTCCTCTCCCTCTCTTTCTGTGTCTCTATCACACACACACACACACACACACACACAAAGACTTTGCCCCCTATTAGAAAAGTTCCAAAACCTATAATCCTCTCACTTCCTGTTCTTCTACCTGCCAAGCCCTTCCATTTCTGAATACCACCCTCCTTTGTGTCCCAGGGCTACTGAGAGCTCCTGAATAAAAGCCTTATGATGCTGAAATGTCATGACATAAACACATCCCCGCCTCTGAAAGGATCTCAACATTGTTTAGCAATCTTTCATCCTCTCTAGTCCACATTTCTTATCATATTCCAACATGGTAAGACTATTATACTAATATTTTCAGAAGTATTGGTAACTATTCATTATTGACTTACTAGGTTCCAAAAGGCTCCCCTGGTAATGCAGTGTTTAAGGACTTCACTGCTGACCAAATGGTCTGAGGTTTGAACCCACCATCCCCTCTGAGGGAGAAAGATATGGATATTACAGTCTTCTCCCATAATGATCAGACCAAAAAGAAAATCCATTGTCAACGAGTTGTTTTTGACTCATATCAGCCCGATAGAACTGAGTAGAACTGCTCCTTAGAGCAGTGGTTCTCCACCTTCCTCATGCCACCACCCTTTCATACAGTTCCTCATGTGATGGTGACCCCCCCCCACCATAATATTATTTTTGTTGCTACTTCATCACTGTCATTTTGCTACTGTTATGAATCTGGCAACCCTGTGAAAGGGTCATTCGACCTCCAAAGGGGTCGCGACCCACAGGTTGAGAACCACTGCCCTAGAACTCCCAAGGCTGTCAATCCTATGGAAGCCTTGGAACCTCTATGAGACAGTTTTACGTCGTCATGCAGAGTAGCTATGAGACAGAAACAACTCGAAGGCGAGAGGTTTGGGTCTTCTTGTTTGTGTATTGGGTTCCAAGTGCTACCTTAGATCCACTATACGAATCATTCCTAACTCCAGACCAAACCTTCAATCCCTCCACAGAAATAAAGGATCTGACTATTTTTAAAGGGGGGGGGAGGGATTCACTAGAACCCACCTCAATCAAAACAATGGTGAGGATGGCACGTGGCCAGGCAGTGTCTCATTCTGTTCTGGAAGTTAGAATCAACTCAGTGGCACTTCACAGCAACAACAGCGACAACAAACTTTGAAGGTGTATTTTTCCCATGCTCCCTGACTCTCATGCCCTACTGCGCTTCCCAGTCCCTTGTTCTTCGTAATGACGTGATAAAGAGGCCAACTTGATTGGAAGTCCCTCTATCCTCCTCCTAATTATGAGAATCATCACCCCCTCTTTACAGTGTGACCATTACATAAACCAGCTCAGAGTCACCCTATGGGGAAGAGTAGAACTGCTCCCTAGATTTTCCAAGGCTGCAATTTCTTATGGGGACAACCAACCTCATTTTACCTCAGGAGTCGCGGGGGCATTATAACTACTGACCTTGCTATTAACAGCCAGTTAGCTATCAAAGGAGACTACCAGGACTCCATTGCAGATGGTATAATTGCATATTTATATCAATACACCATTATACTAGGTAAGATGCAGGATCCAGGGACACAGCCACTTCGGTTCCAGACTCCATGCATTCAAGCCTCCCAGCCCCAACCCTCTTTGCCTGTTAATCCATATCTGTGGTAGGTTTATTGTTCTAACTATTGAATTCTCCTCTGGCCACAAAGGTGCATTCTGCGCTTTTGTATTCTCAAGGGACTGCTCTCTCCCTTCCCTTCCCTTTACCACCAAAGTTCTTACACAGGGGCAATGCCAGCGCTCCTAAAATGATGACCATTATAACCTCGGTGTGTCTTGTCAAAACCATAAGACCTACACCTTAAAAACAAACAGATTCACCAAAAATTACCTTGTACAAGAATGGGCAATGTTCTCAGTAAAGGAAAGAAGTGGAGATTGGGATGTTTGAGTGGGCACAAGATGGAAGAAGTAGCCAAAGCCAGCAGCACACACTCGGTTCCCCTGCAGAAATGAAAGAGGTTGAAAAATTAGCTATTTCATGTACAACACAGTGACTGGGGAAATAAAAAACACTATTTTGTGTGTTCATTCAACTTTTCCAGTCAATTGATAATTTTTATGAATTCATTTATTAAGCAAACAAAAAAAGAGATTTCTATTCCTTTTATTCCAGTCTTCTCAACCAACCTGTAATTTGCACGCCAATAATAGACATTTTGTGTTTAAAATTCCATGTGAGCTTACTGGGTAAGAAGGCTGCTTGTGGTGTCTAGTCTAAGTCTCTCCTCATTCATTAGTTCATGCTAGAGTATGCTCAGGGGCCTCAGAAAGTTCATGGAATATTTCCATTAACTTTTAATTACATATTTCCACCAAGTTTTTTGAAGACCTTCCTGATGATGTCTTAGCCCTGGGGTGCAGTGGGTTTTTTCGAATACAACTCAAACATCCTCAATGAACTATTGTCTTGAGAGGACCAGAAGGCCAGCCCCACCAGAAGACACGATGTCTCCCCACTGACCCACAGTGCTGTAGGGGACAGCACGGGAGACACAGTGGGGGAATTGTGCCAGTCTGAGCCCCTCACACCAGGGCAAAACACGAAGTGAGCACAACAGAGCAGCAAGGGGAGTAAAGCAACGAAGTCCCCTGGGGAATCCTGAAAATAGACTTCACACTCAGAGGGCGGGGTTTGGCACCTCATCACACTCGATCCGAAAACATACATAAGGGTCAGCAGACAGACCTGGAACTATTTATAGGCCCTTTCTTCTTCTTCTTTTTCATGTCTATCTATATAAGATAGACAAGATAAACAGTCCAGAGGAGAAAATTATGGAGATTAGAGGAGAAGGGGAGGTAGGAGAAAATGAGGGGGATCCAATATACCCAGGGACAATGGAAAAACAAGAGATCTAAAATCGATGGTGAGGAGGGTATAGAATGCCTGGTGAGGTTCGATCAAGGGCAAAGTAGCTGGACAGAATTGCTGAGAACAGAAAGAAGAACAAACATGATAGTGGGACAGAAGGAAAAATAAAATGAAATGGAGGAAAGAACTAGGAGGCAAAAAACATTTATAGAGGTATAAATATAGGCATGTATATATGTAAATGTATTAACATATAATGATAGGGATATAGGCCTATGTACATATATTTATATATTAAATATCAAGGTAGCATTGGGTCTCTACTCAAGCCTACCCTCAATGCAAGAACACTTTGTCCTAATTACCTGGCATTCTGTGATGCTCAACTTCACGACATGACCCCTGAAGTCAAGATGTGTGCATAGCAAATGTAGTGAAGAAAGCTGACGGTACCCAACTATTAGAGGATATAGCTTCTGGGTTGTTGTTTCTTTTAAAATACTTTTATTAGGGGCTCTTACATTTCTTATCACAACCATACATTCATCCATTGTCTCAAGCACATTTGTATATATGTTGTTGCCATTTTCATTTTCAAAGCATTTTCTTTCTACTTGAGCCCTTGATATCAGCTCCTAGTTTTGCCCCCTCTTTCCCCTACCCTCCCTCCTTCATGAACCCTTGATAAATTATAGATTATTATTTTCATATCTTATATCATCCTCTGTCACCCTTCACCTACTTTTCTGTTGTTCGTCCCCCTGGGAAGGGGTTATATGTCAATCCTTGTGATCAATTCCCCTTTCTCCCCACACCTTTCCCTTATCTTCCTGGTATCTGTATTCTCATTATTGGCCCTGAGGGGTTTATCTCTTCTGGATTCCCTGTGTTTCAGGTTCGTATCTGTAGCAGTGTGCATGTTCTGGTCTAAACTGATTTGTAAGGTAGAATGGAGGTTTTGATAGTGGGGGTGGGGGAGGTGGAAGCATTAAAGAACTAGAGGAAGGTTGTATGTTTCATCAGTGCTATAGTGCACCCTGACTGGTTCATCTCTTCTTTGTTACCCTTCTGTAAGGGGATATCCAATTGTCAACAGATGGAATTTGGGGCTCTACTCCACGCAACACCCCCCCCTTCACATTGGTATGATTTTGTTCTGGGTCTTAGATGCCTGATACCTGATCCCACAACATTTCTTGGGCCTTAAACACTTAAAGTTAAATAAGCAGCCATCTAGCAGGGAAGCAACAAAGCCCACACAGAAGAAGAACACCAGCCTGTGTGATCAAGAGGTGTCAAAAAGATCAGTTACCAGGCATCAGAAGACCTGAAATATTCATAATGATGTGTACAAGTGGAGTCAGAGTGGAGACCCAAAACCCATCTATAGACAATTGGACATCCCCTCACAGAAGGGTCACAAGGAAGGGACGAGTCAGCCAGGGTGCAACACAACACCAACAAAACACACAACATTCCTTTAATGTTACCTCCCCCCAACTGTCATGACCCCAGTTCTACCTTACAAACCGGCTAGACTGGAGCGTGTACCCTGGTACAGATAAGAGCTTTTGACACAGAGAATCTGGGACGGATAAACCCCTCAGGAACAGCGATGGGAATAGCGATGAGGGTAGGGGAAAGGCATAGTCGGGGGTGGGGGTGCGGGTGGGAGGGAAAGTGGGAACCAATGACAAGGATCAGCATATAACCCCACCCCCACCCCGAGGGGGACAAACAACAGAAACGTGAATGAAGGGAGATAGTGGACAGTGTATGAAAACAGTAATAATTTATAACTTATCAGGGGTTCCCAAGGGTGGGTTGAGGGAGGGAGGAAATAAAGAGGAACTGATAGCAAGGACTCAAGTAGAAAGATAATGCTTTGAAAATGATGATGGCAACATATGTAGACATGTACTGGATTCAACTGATGTATGGATTGTGATAAGAGCTGTAAGAGCCCCCAATAAAATGATTTATTTTTTTTTAAGAACTACTGTTTTGATTAGCTAATTTAATCACCTTAATCTTTATGAGACTTGTTATGCAAATAATTACATGTATTTTATACATTCATATAAAATCTAAATTCATCACCAGAGCTTTGGGTCCTAATTCCGATCAAACTGAACATGCTGAGGTTATCACACTCAGCCAGTGAAGTGATATGTTCATTCAGTGAACACGATAAACTCGTCGTTATGAGAGATACTCTAAGACAAAGCAGACAGTGACTTCCTAAATGCTTTAAGGAGTACACAGAGCTATTTTGCTTAGCCTGTTCAATGTTTGCAAAAATTTTTTTATTTATTTACAATATTTTTAAATCAGGACGCTTTATATAAAAATGCCAAACTTCCAGCATTTTAAGAATAGTGCACCCAAACTCCTGTGAGATAGGAAAAGGTAGCAGCCGAGAAGAGCTGCCTGCCTGGATTGTGGGGTATTTTGCTACACCCCCAACCTTCCCCTGCACTCACTGTGATACCAACCTAGCTCCTGGAGACATTTTGAATTTGCAACCTCATACTGCAGGAGGTAAAGTAAATAACAAGTTGGCTGTTGCATGGCCACTTTCATTCATTCCTTCCTGAATTGCACCCAAGTTCTCCCAATGCACACACTAACATATGAAAGAAAGGTAGCCCTCACTTTCTCTCTCTACCACCAGGTAGAGAGACCACTAATGAATGTGAGGGGGTCTCTTCAGGCTGCTGCACTGAGATGGCACTTACAGTGGAAGGAAGGAATCAGTTGTGTGCCCCATCAGCCAGAGAATGCTGGAGCAATGCCAAGATGCCTGTGTCTACTCAGGGAATAGAAGTTCAGGAACAGGTTACTCAGTAAGCCCCTGGCAGAAGCATTGTACTACAGAGATAATGGGAGTCGCAGCAGCCCCATGGGTTCAACCTTGGTCATGTGGAGGATCTGACCAGGACTCGCTGGTGTGAGACAGACTTCTGGATTGTCCCTCTGTGAGCACCTCAGACTCTCGGGAGCACACAGTCTGGGACTATGAGAATACAGCTTGAGGCAAAAGGCATCAGGACAGGAGCATCGAGAACAGATAGGATCATGATGAGAGTTCGCCATCCAGCAAAGCACTGAATAGTGGGGGCTATGCTGTGAGAATCCCCCTAGAATAGTATCTTAATTTTTAACATGCTCTGGAGGTAGATTTGCCAAATTTAGCAAATAAATTAGAGATGCTCACTTCAATTTAATTTTTCCCCAGATAAACCAAGAATTATCTTCTTAGTGTAAGTATGTCTCAAATACTGCGTTAATACTTAAAAATGTTATTCATCTGAAATTCCAATTTAACAGCACTGTGTATGTAATCGGCCAACTCTAACCTAGGAGACTGTCCATTTATGGGCTCCCCACCCAATACTCTGATTTAGTATTTATGGGCTCCCCTCCTAATACTCTGATTTAGTATTTATGTGACTTGTAGAGGGGGAGAGAAGTTTCAAGCACTACAGATCCTTCTGAAGCAGGTGGTCTTTTGTTCGCATTTTTAGAATGATCACTCCTGAGATGACCAAGGTAGCGATAACAAAGTGTCTAACCATGAAGGGTCTTGGAGATGTTCTAAGGGAGGGACACATGAGGAAGACTACTTTTCCTGGAAGATTGACCTCCAGCTGCTTAGAAAAAAAACAACAATTCAAATAGAAATCACTATTGATAATTAAAGGGGAACGGAGATCAAGAAAATCAGAATGGGAGGCTTAAATATGTAACCAAATCCCATCACAAAGGCTGCCTTTCAGTGAGACATTTATTTATTCCTATTGAATCTTTTTCCTGGAAGTATTTAAGTTACAACCAAGTAATAATAATTATGATAAAACTAATAGGTAAAATTTATAATAAACTCACTATAATTCAGGTCCCAAATTCCAAAGTCTCATTATTTTCACAGTTCAGTAAGTTCTGTATTGTTACAGTTTTACAGAGAGCAAACTCGGAAACTCTGAGATACTGAGTAACTTTCCCAAAGAGAAAGAGCTCATAATTGGTAGCATCAACTCCATCCATATCCAAGTCCCAAACTGTTAGAGACTGTAGTCTAAACTCGAGGAATCAAAGTAGGGGTCAGAGCTAGAAATCCTAAACAACA